CACACACACACACACACACACACACATACACACACACACACATACACACACACAAAGAGGGAAAGAGACAAAGAGAGAAATTAACCAAATCTACTGAACTAACCAAAGAGAACATTTATACTCACTCTGTACGAGGACTGACGTGAGATGGAAAGAGAACCCTTAATCCATACGTTGCCCTGAGATCCTGATCTTGTCCACAAGGGAGAACCAATACTTGTGATATGGTATATGTATATGGACAAAGAGCCAATAGAACTTCCTTGCATATGATACCAAAATGTTAAGCACTGCAAAAGAAAAAAAAACACCACATAGTTTTAATGTTAGTAAGAGTATTACCACATTTGCAATGCAATAAGATCATAAAAGTGCCAAAGATTAGAGGTGTTACAAGAAAGTAACAAACACAAAAAAGGAGACGAGAACAGGATGATAGATGTTTGATAGGAAAGAAGACGCAAACCACACTAGAGCACTTGCCAACCATCCGCAAAATCCTTGGTAAAAGAACAAGAGTAGATAAGCCAGAGCTGTGTAAAAACACAACAGAATATTCTGAAAGTAACAGCTCAGTATGATAAGATACTCAAACAAAGAAAGCCAGTTTTTTTCGTTTTTTAAATTGTTTAAACGCCTGCAAACTTCATTTCCATGAAGTGCTAAAACACACCCAAAAATCTGAACACAAAATGCATGTATCACGGATTTATAGGGGCTGTACTTTAACTCCCAGCGTTTTATGCAGTACTATATCGCATAAATATATACGATGGCTGGTGATGTGGTATTTCGCCTATAAAATACATTTACTTTCTTAAAGAAAGATTTTGTAAGGTATTTTTATCAAATAAAAATGATCAAATAGACTAAAAAATATAAAATAGGTATTAAAATTAATGGTTTTATTATAAAACTCTCGCTCTGAAATTTCCAGTTTAAATAATAATAATAATAATAGATAGCATTTGTATAGCGCATATCCCCGCTCAACAGCAGGCTCTATGCGCTTTACACTATATTATTACCCCAGCAGACCATAGAACAATCCGAAACATTCTCAGCTTCCCGGGAAGCATACAGTGCGAGCAGCCGATTAAGCGCTCAAACACTAACAAACTGACAATATCTTTCGCTGTCTATAGCCGGGTACCCATTCTCACCTGGGTGAAGTGAGGAAAATTCGTGTAAAGTGCCTTTCCCAAGGACACAACGTCGGGCCCTTGATGGGATTCGAACCCACGACCTTACGGTTGCGAGTCCGAGAGCCTAACCACTAGGCCACCGACGCCACTAAGTTTCAAAAGCAATAACCGAGAATTTGTAGAATGCACAAGAACGGCCCTCGTTTCTTTATTTTTCAACAGAATGGAGTGTTTTTTAACACATTAAAAGCAAAATTGAATGTACTTTCTCATCAAATTAATGCAAACTCTAAATTGGAAAAAAAAAATTCTTCTTTGTGATTGTTGGGGCAGTCAGATTTCTGTTTTTGCATCTATTTTTAGTAAGACAAAAAACATATCACACCTCAAGAAAGCTTGACAAATATGAAATCTATTTCCTAGGTCTGAAAAAACATCTAATTCCCTTTCTATTGGTATATGATATAATGTCTGTCTGGAACAGATAGGTTATTGCAGGGGGCTCGAGAGCAAAAAGTCAATATTATATGAAATTTCTAAGATTCAAGGACAATAACTAGGAATTGTAGGATGAACTAAAATGGCTCTCATTTCTTTATTTTCCAAAAGAATGGTGTATCTTTGACATGTAATATGCAGACCTGAATGCACTTTTACATGAAATAATTGCTAGCCTAACCTCTAAATTCTCAAACAATTTTTTTCCCCTTTTTTTGTGACTATTGGAAAAGTGTGATTTCTGTTTTTGTTTGTATTTTTTAGAAACAAGATAAAAAGGTCCCACTTCAAGACAGCTTGACAAAATTGAAATCTACAGGCTAGGTCTGAAAGTCTTTCTAATTCCCTTTCCAAATATAATAATATGTCTATCTGGAGTATATAGATTATTGCATGAGGCTTGAGGGTATGAGGACCCCTTAAACATAAATGAAAAGCCAAAACAGGCAAAACTGCTGGGAGGTAAGGCCACACTCTACTTCTTAGCTCCAAAATCTACAATTAAGTTATTTTTACTTGTTTTTTCTCCTTTTCTCAAAGTATTCCATTAAAGGGTTAAAAATATTCAGTTTTGAGAATCATTGTCAGTTAAGTAGTCACAGAAGTGGCAAATTAGAGTGAAACCGGTTTATCTGAAGGACTATTTTCAAAAGCTAAAAACTCAAAAGCTATCCCTACTATCTGTGAACTAAAAACATATTTGTAATCTGCATACAAATCTTATTAAATTGAAATTAGCTTTTCTTGAAATTGTAAATACTTATCATCTTATTACTTTTTGAAGACTTGCATATTAGCAAATGACGAAAATAGTTAAAACAGCAAAGTAATAAAAAATATTTAAAATATTTATATTCTTTTAATCAGAAAAAGCTAGCATAATTTTATTTGGATTGCAAGGTGCACCTACCCTCAAAATTTCATGTATTTATCTTGAATCATTTTTGAGTTTTTAGCTTTAAAGGCCAAGAAATGAACATTTTGAGGAAAGGAGCAAAAACAGCTCAATATTGCTTTAAAGCATAGTATTGGCTCACAATGACATGAACTTTATGGAGCTATGTCTTTGAAATAGACCTTTGGGAATACTTCCATTCGATTCAGCCCATCATTTTCAGGGGAAGTTTCTCAAAACCCCTAAAACATTGTTTGGACCCAAACTGAACCCCCAAAAACCTGTGTGCGGCCTAAATTAACTCCTTCACTACCACAAGCCGTGTTTCAAGACTCGTGTTACCCCTAGCGCTGGACCGCGCGCCATGTTTCACGGCTCTCCACTTCCCGCTTCAAAACCAGACATGCTTTTGTAATAATCAAATCTGAAATCTCAGGCTGCAGAACGATCGTTTTTAGCAACATGTGGACATAGGTCATTATTTACACTTTATTTCCCTATATGATATATGTGGCTAAAATTTAAAATTGAACTTTAAAATCTGTAATTTGTCCGACAGTAGTCAGAATCAGAAAGTAGGTCACAGATAGGGCCCGGTCACAGTGAGGAAAACCCCCCTGTAGTGAAAGAGTTAAAGGAATAATTGTGCTCTAGTCAACCTAAGTGGAGTTAATCTACATGTAATCAAACAAAACATCAAGTTAAGACGTAACTTTTTCTAAATGGTTTTGTTTGGCCGCAGTGACTTTAAAATTTCTATCCGTGAATGACGCAGGCTGTAAAAATGATGATGATGAGCAGTTGCCACAAAAATTAAGTATGAATCCCAATTTAACTCTGTTGTTGTTTAGCTTTACTTAGACTTTTGAAGCACTTGATTATAATAATTAAGTTCACTTGTACAGCACCCACTCCCTAATGCTTCTAGGCGCTTCACAAATAAAAAAAACCCAAAAAAACATCAGCTTACACAAGGACACATTTCATGCAAACTAGCCCATACAGACAACAACAGTTCTTTCAAATACATATATATACACCCACAATCTGACAAAAGAACAATCAGTGGCGGTTCGTGGTTTATAGAACTGACCGGCCGTCATTCACATCGACTCTTTCTCATTCCCCCCACCCCCTTCCTTCACAACACA